GCGGGGCGGGGCCGGGCTTAGTGACGCCATCACGCAGGCGCCGGGCGGGCTGGCGGGGCGGGCCGAGGACGACCCAGCCCCACCGCCCTGAGCAGGGAAGACCTGTGGGTCCGCGAGGGCCGCATCCTGGACCCGGAGAAGCTCTTCTTCGACGAGCGGCGCCTGGCCGACGAGCGGCGGGACTGCGGGGGCTGCATCCTGGCGCCGGGCTTCATCGACGTGCAGATTAATGGTGCGGCCCGGCGCAGGGGAGGGGGCGGGAAACGGGGCCCCGGAAGCACTGCGGGACCCTGTTTTCTGTGGCCGCAGGTGGATTTGGCGTTGACTTCTCTTTGGCCACCGAAGACGTGGGTTCAGGGGTGGCCGTGGTGGCTCAGAAGATCCTGGCACACGGAGTCACGTCCTTTTGCCCGACCCTCGTTACCTCCCCGCCGGAGGTTTACCACAAGGTGAGGTCCGGTCTGGAGGAAGGGAGAGGGGGACACCCCCACCCACCTCCTAAGGCTGTTCTGTGCCTGGCCTGGCAATCCCACCCCAGGTCCCATAGCTGCTCCTGCAGCTCCACGGGGCCCCACTCTTGCTGTCTCAGCACCCAGAGCTGCCGCATGCTCTCCCCTCCCTACACTGCCTCCCTCCTTTCTTGACCAAGGTCCTCTGGGCCTCGCCTCAGCTCGTCACTCCTCAGGCCCAGCCTTCCTAGCCTGTCTTGTGTGTTAATATGTGGTTGAACACGACTTCCAGAAAGTTCCATGGTAGGCCTTGCTAGCCCTACTGTACCACTTTCTACTCAAAAGCCCCTGGAATCCTTGTAATTAGTTGGGCATGATTCTCTTCAATAAGTGTAGTTTCCAGGCAGCTGGCCTGGCTTTATTGTTTAATCTCATTCTCTTCATGCTCATGTAGCTTTTCCCTGGACCCTTTGTGCGTGGGCTGCTCGCTTATTCCTTGCCTGACCCCGTCCTTATTCCTTGATGCCTTGTGCCATAGTTACAGGTCGATCGCTAAGGCTGGGGGGCAAAACTGCAGTGCATCCTGCTAGAGCCAGGACTCCACAGGGATACAGCCTTGAGTTTCTGCATCTCCAAAGTTTCCCATCTCGAACCAGGTGCCAGCTTAGCACCTTTTTATGCCCAACCCAGTGGGAAATCTGTGTTGTTCTGCCATGATAGCTTCCCCAGGGTCCGGCAGGGGGTTGGCCGGCTGCTCTTCCAGGTGGTACTCTTTCACAGCGTGTTCCTTACCACCAGCAAAGCTGCCCACACTAAAGGACACTTGTGATTTGCTCGTCTGCCCCTTCCTTGCTCTCACCTTCACGAGCTTACTCTTTCTCACGCACCCGGTTCTCTTCTGGCGCTGTGGAGAGTCAGGGGCCCAGCCTCTGGTTTCCCTTTCCAGCCACAGAGCAGAACTTGGTTCTGTGCAGCAGTTTGGAGAGTGAGAGGAAGTAAGGGAAGTCTCCATCTCAGATTTGGGGGTGCTGGGTCTGAGTCAGGGAGGAACTTCTTCCTGGATGTTTCTCTGGCTTTTCTACCACAAAGTCACAATGTCAAACCCAACTTCTTCAGCTGCTGCACACCAGCACCACCTGCCTGTGTCTTGTCCGTGTTACCGGGTTTGTACCTGCCTGCTGGGGACCTGGTGACTGGCCCACCCTCTTCCTTCTCCCCTGCTCAGGTAGTCCCTCTGGTCTCAGTGACCTGCCAGCCAGAGTAATCTCCAAGAGCGAGGCTGAGAGCACTCCTGCCCCTTGCCTCTCTTCCCTTAGAGAGCATTCCTTAGCTCCCCCCCCCACCCCCCAGGGTTGGGGCCTCAGGAACTTTCCAGGCTCTCACCCCTGCAGCCCCCAAGCCTTCTGCTTGGAATTCCCTTGCCCCTGGGAAGCTTTCCAAGGCCAAAATCTGTGGGCAGATCTCTCTCCCTGGGAGTAGTTGGTGGGCTGGGCAGCTCAACTGCTTAACCCCTTGCACCCCAGGGTGTCTTTCAATGTGCTTGCGTGCGACTGCAAGAATGGGCTCCAGCACAGGGCCAACCCCCAGGATGGTGGAGGACCAGGCAGTGTGTGCACTCTGTCCGACCAAGGGTCTTGATGCGTCAGAACCCACTCTACAGGCACTGTGCAACGGCTTCCAGTTGTGGCTTCATCCCCAGAACCCCTCCCAGTCCAGCTGCTGCGCTGACCCTGGATAAGTGACCCTGGATAAGTGCCGAGGAGATGGGGAAGGACTGGGGGCGTGGGGGGTGGATACCAACTTCAGCTTGGAAAGCTAGACCTCCTTTCCCTGGGCTATCTCCATCCTCCACGCTGGCCACCAGTCCCCCAGGTGTCTCGTTATACCTGCTTTGTTTCTGGGATTACCTCTAGCCTTTCATTGAGACCACTCCCTGCTTCAGTGCCAGGGCACCCGCACCTCACCCCACCCCACACACATGCTGTGCACTTGACAAGGTCACAAAGGAGCTGAGTTCACAGTGGTTAAAGCTCATCTTGGGTCCAGCCCAGGGGTGGGCTTGGCCCTCAGGATGGGGGCGGGACGAGGGGGAATGGCCCCTGCTCACTTTCCCTGCCCACCCCACCTTAGCCATGGAGCTAGTGTCCCTGGGAGCCCAGATTTGCAGCCGCTGCGTTTGCTCCAAGCCTCCTTTTTTTGGGGGGGTCTCACTCTTCGTTCTCCACTAACGTTTTATAGCTTTGTTGGTGGATGTTCACTCGGCAAGTTAGGTTCCAGTTGGGTTTTGACCCATGTCGTTTGGTGACAACTTTTTACATTTTTCACAATGTGTCACATTCTCTTTGGTGCCTATGGTGCCTATATCTCCAGTGTCCTGTCCCCTTCTCTCTCTCCTGTCAGCTCACACGTCCCAGGAAATGCCTTTAAATCATATCCAGCTCTAGACATCCGCCGTCCCTAGGGACAACGTAGTAAGCTACGACCCAAACCAAGCTGGCTGCCATCGAGCCCATTCTGACTCACAGCGACCCTCTAGCACAGAGCAGGGCCTGTCATTCTTCACAGGAACAGCCTCATCTGTGTCCCACAGAGTGCCTGCTGGGTCTGAACTGCTGACTTTGGGGTCAGCAGTCCAACTCATAACTCATCAAGCCACCAGGACACCTGCTGCTCCATGTAGGTGGGTTTTTTCGTTCTTTTTTAGTGGAGCACAATATTCACAGACAACAGTCTTTATTTTGGGTGTGCCAATCTGTTATTTCTTTAAAGAGTGACCTGGGGGGTGGGGGAGCGCTAGTTTTGGTTCGAGGTTTATAGAGTATCTCAGGTGGAATTCCATACATCCAACCAGTCTGCTAAGTCAGAGTCTGTGTTCTGCTGGGCATTTCTCTCCCATTCTAACAGGATCCACCTACGGTGGCCTGGGTCAGAACCGCCACTCGTGCTAGCTGGGCACCACCTCGTTCTTAAGGTCTGCGCCAGGCTTCCCCTCGTGTGTTCACTCTCCTCTGCACATTGAGCCTGCTGTCACTTTCCTTGGCAACCAGCCTTGGCTGCTGGCCCTGCCAGACCATGTTGTCTCAGGAGGTCCCTTCTCGGCTTGGAAGAGCCCCCTGGCAGTCCCCCTCTTGTGCCCAGCGTCTCCTGCTGCTTTCCCAGTTTACGCCATCCTTTTGAGGGAGCACATCCTTCAGTAGCTGCGGCACGAAAGGGTTATGGGAAAGAAAAGCAAAGGGTTATGGGAGGTAACCCTCGTGACCTTGAAGGTCTGAAAACAGCTGTATCCTCTTCAGTGGATGGCCAGGTCGGGTGCAGATTCTCTCCGAGGTGCAAGAACTTTTCTCCTCTCAGATTAGAAGGACTTTGAAGGCAATTCTGCATTGCCTTTCTGTGGCTGGGAGTCTGCACAGCAAAGCACTCGGCCTCCAGTGACTTCCTTGTGCGCGTCAGCGGCGTTCTCTGAGTCCTGCAGCCATCCTCACCCTCTGACTTGTTTCTCCTCATCCGCGTCAACACACACTCACTGCCCCCGCCCCCCCCCCCAAAAGAAAGAAATCATCTTCGGAGTTACTGTAGTCAATTCCTTCCCATCTGGTGCGATCGTAAAAGAGTGAGTGACCTTGTGTAATGGTTAAGCTAAGCTATTACCCGTCTTTGAGATGAATTCAGGGAGTGGTGTGGTTTTCAGTCTTAAAGATGTCCCAGGGCACCAGTTGTAGGGTTTCATCCACCCTCCACGACTCCAGAACTTCTAGAGAGTTTGAAATTCTGTTCTGCATTCTCCTCCTTGCCCCACTACCCCCCACCCCACCCCCACCTTTTGCTCAGGATCCTGCTCTGGATTTTTTTTTTTTATTAAAAGATCATTTTAATGGGGGCTCTTACAACAATCCATGCATAATTGTATCAAGCATATTTGTACATATGTTGCCATCATTTTCTAAACATTTACTTTCTTTTTGAGATCTTGGTATCAGCTTCTCCCCCCCCTTGATAAATTATAAAGTGTTATTTATTTATTAGGTGTTATTTTCATATCTTACACCGACCGCTGTCTCCCTTCCCCCATGGTTTCTGTTGCTGGTCTCCCTGGGGGAGGTTATGTGTCGATCATTGCGATTGGTTCCCCCTTCCTCCCCTCCTCTCCTCACCTTCCCCCTACCCTCCTGGTATGGCTACTCCCATTTCTGTACCTGGATTCCATGTGTCCTGTGCATATGCTCCAGTCTAGCCTGCAGTGAAAGGTAGGACTGGGGCCATGGAACCTCAAGGAATCAGAGGATTATTGTGTGTTTCTTTGGTGCTGTACTGAACCCTGGTTGACTCATCCCATCCTTGTGACCCTTCTGTAAGGGGATGTCCCATTGTCTACAGGTGGGTTTGGGTCTCTGCTCCCACCCCCCTCGTTCTCAACAGTTTGGTTTTCTTTGTTTGTTTTGGATCTTCTGATGCCTGTTACCCTATCCCATCAACACCTCATGATTCCACAGGCTGGTGTGTTGCTTCTCTACTAGATGGCCACTTGTTTATCTTCAAGTCTTTAAGACCCCAGACGCTATGTCTTTTGATAGCTGGGCACCATCCACTTTCTTTACCACATTTGCTTATGCACCCATTTGTCTTCAGCGATCGTACTGAGAGGGTGAGCATCACAGAACGCCGAGTTATTAGAACAGAGTGTTCTTGCGTTGAGGCAGGGCTTGAGCAGAAGTCCTAAGTCCGTCCACTACCTCAGTGTGCTGCCATGTCTCCATAAGCAGTTTGCTCTGGACTTTTTGATGCAGGGGTCCAGTAGTAGTAGCCAGGTGTCATCATCTGGCTCCAGTCTCACGGTAAAGAAGGCAGTTGTTCACAGGGGCAGTAACCCGCACATCCCACTTCTTTTTCCTCCTCCACTATCTGGCCTCTTGTGACTGACCTGATTCTCATTCGAGTAATGTCTTTCAGACCATCCTGGCCATGAGACGTTTTGGCAGCTGTCTCCTAATCCGTTTAAGGGGTAGGGCATTCCTGTGTGCAGTCTCTGCTCCCCCCAACTGGTTTCTTCATTCATCCACAATGCCCAACACCGGCCCTTTTGTGACTGCCAGGACCCCGACTCCCTCTACCCCATAGCCCATATCAAGACTTCACTTCTACTAGCTGAGTAGTTGTTCGTCCTGTGCACTGCCCGTCTACCCCAGGCTTGATCCACTCATCAGTGAATGAGCACAGAGGGGTGGTTTGAGAAATCTGATGTCTCCTGACACTGCACCCTTGGTGAAAGACGCCTGTCTTCTCCCTGGAGGCTGTGGGGGTCCCCTCTGTCCCTGTCTGCTGAGCCCTCTTAGGATGGATCCAAGAAGGGACCCAGGAGGTCCATATTTCTTTGTAACATGCTGCCGACAAGCCCTGTCCAGCCAGGAACTGGGGTTGCATGGTTTTGTTCTGATGGTCGGCACTCCTTTTTGTATGGCTGGAGGCCTTTTCCTAATGGATTTTCTCCCCGTCTCTGGGATCTTTCTAGAAGCCTGCTTGTTGCTCAGTATCCACTGCGGGGCTCCAGGGCTGGCCCTCTCCTCTCCCCCTTCTCCTGTTCTTTGCGTCATCTCTTCAGCATCTCTGCAGACCTACTGTCCGGACTGCTCACTCAGCTTTCTCATCTAGTCCCTGCCCAGGAGAGCTATCTGTGGCTGTCGTAGAAGCTCGTGTCCTTGCCTTGTGGCTGTAAGACTGGCCACTGACCTGGGGGTGAGGTGGGGCTTGCTTTCCCCAGTGGCTTTCCCTTCCTGTTCTTTGACATGGCCTCACTCAAGGTGCATGGAACCTGGTGTGGGACTTCTGCTACTTCTCCCCACCCGGCGAAGATCAGCGAGGG